CAATGGCCTCCATAGCCTACCTGCTTTTACCAACACCCAGGCTCTCACCACAAGCCTCACATGGTCTACAAATAGGCCCGCGATGTGTGCAAAGCAGTTGTTTCCCCCTGCAGGCCTCCCAGCCCCACCCATTACTGATGTGACCACCTAGTCCCACGTGGAACGGTCACCTGATGACTAGCCAGCAGTTCTGTTCCAGTTAGGGCTTCACTAAATGAGCAAACTGGTGGTTTCTGCTATCTGGTGGCCTAACCACACCTTCTCCTCCTCCTACTGAACCTCTTCCAAGTTCATCCTCCCCTGTTACTTTTCCTCAACCTAATGTGCCAGAGAGACTCTCCTTATATTTTGCAGTGTTTTTCCATCCTGGCTACCAGTTCTTTACATTTCCCTTCCCTTATATAACCCACTGTGTGGTTTCTTTCTTTCTTTTTTTCTCCCTTGGGGGTGGGAGTACTGGGAATCGAACTGACAACCTTGCACTTGCCAGGCAGGCACTGTGGTGCTGAGGTATATCCCCGGCCCCACTTTGTGGTTCTGTCTCTTGATTTGAGCCAGATATTCACCTCATCAGTAAAGAAGAGGTAAGAACATCTTCATTTCAGATTTATTTTTCAGACAAATGAGAAAACCATCATAAAGCATAGAGCTCAGAGCTCTGCTCAATTTCCCCTTTGCTTTGGGTTTACTTTCTTTTTACAGAGAAAAGGGAAACTAATGTCAGTGAATACCTTCTGGATACCAGGCACTGTGCCAGGCCCTTGGCAGGATGGTGCTGACGAGCATGTGGTTAGCCTTAGAGGAGGTGACGGAGGGTCATAATGTAACATACTACTAGAGCGTAAGAAGGCCATAGTGCAGGAAGCTGAGCTACAAACCCAGGTTGCCAATCCTCCCAGTCCGTGCACCACCCCACAGTGGACTCCCTCCTAGATTCCCAAACATTCCTTCTTTGCACTGAGTGGGAACAATTTTCCCACATAACAAAGCCCCTTGGGTCTTATGACTCATTCCATGATGAGGGTAGTCAAGTGGCTGGAGCATCATTTGCTGGAGTCTTTCTTTTGTCGTCCCTTGAATAACAGATCTACCCAACTCATTGGAAAGCCTGGTTTTTCTCTATATATGAGCTGGCTACTAAATGAGGGCTAAGCAGCCTTTGCTCTTAGAACTGGTGCTATAAGCCTTGACAAGTAAGAACTGGGCTGTTAAGGATGTGCTTTGAAAAAAATCCCATTGCTTAAAGTAAAATTATGGAATGTCATAGCAGCAGTGGACCAGTTGTATGGTTTGTTGCTAACTTCCAAGGATCAACAATCTTTGTTATGTTCACTGTGCTTTCTCAGTGCTTAGAACCATGCCTGGTATACAGTAGATATTCACTAAATGTTTGTCAAAGGGGAGAATTTATATAGTCAAGGAATCACCATATGTGTGCATACGTGGAGCTTCGCTAAGGTATTTTAAAGTAGGATTTTATTTTAAAAGCAAGAGGAACATGACAATTTTATAATCAAGGTATGCTATTAAGATAATATAGTCCAGGGACCAAATTCACCCTAATGAGAACTTACTTGCCTGCTATTTCATGTCCTCTGGATGTTAGTCTTTTCTAGGTTACAGCCTATTATTCTGTTGATATGGTAGTTTATCAGTAATGAGGGGTGAAAATAAAGGTATCATCCCAGTAGGTAGCATAGCAGCTTTTCGAACAAAGCCCTTTGGAAAATATTACCTGGTGCCTGGCAGAGAATTCTTCACGTGGCAGCTACTCCATAAATGTCTGTTGGCACCAATGAGACCGTGATGATGGAAAGACCTTAAAATAAAGCACTGACAAAAATAGTGTGGATTCAGGCAAAATAAAGAAGACTGAGAGAGGTGGGGGTGATTTTTGTTTTTGTGGTTCTGGAAATCAAACTTAGGACCTTGGGCACACTAGGTAAGTGCTCTGCCACTGAGATACATTCGTAGTGCTTTTAAAATTTTTATTTTGGAGATAGAGTCTTGCTAAATTGCATAGGTTGGGCTTGAACTTGTGATCATCTTGCTTTAGTCTCCTGAGCACCTGGGATTACAGGTGCATACCACTGTGCCCAGAGAGTGGTGGGATTTTTGATTGGGCAGACTCTACATATCTCACTAATGACCGGCGAGCTACCTATGCTTTCTGTGCTTAAAAATTAGGTGTATTTGTGCTATAACTCATAAAAACGCCAAACCAAAATAGCAAGTAAAAAGAAGACTGTCTCCATGTGTTATAGACATTCAGATACAGAGAGGAAACCATTTGGGGGAACAAAGATTTCCTATTTGCAAGTTCTGTATATTTCATTTGTTATTAAACTCTGACATTGGTATGTGTGTGTCTGGCACTGGGGATTGAACCCAGGGCCTTCATACTCCAGGGCTCTTCCCCTGAGCTAAAACCTCAGTCTTTTCTTATCTTTTATTTTTTGTTTTAAGACAGGGTCTTGCTAAGTTGCCTAGGCTGAGCTCAAACTTGAGACTTCCTTGCCTCAACCTCTCAACACGGTGGGACTACAGGCATATCCCACTGTGGCCAGCCTCTTTGACACTTAAAAAAGCCCATTTTCTTATTTCTCAGAAATTATCTTTCTTGCTTTCCCTTTTCCATCTTAATATCATCATGAGGGAAGGAAAACATTTAGAAAGAGAGTAAGCCAGGATTTGAACCAGCAATGATAATATTTAGAATTCTTTAAATAGGGGTAGGCACAGATAAAAGTTTTAATCCCTTTTGATACAAAGTTTTAATGGGTGACCTTCTGTAGAGCTATCTCAGTTAGTACATGATTCGTTTATTAATTCTTCTAACAAATACTTCTTAAACACTTACTATGTGCTAATCACTACACTGAGCCTCGAATACAACATAGAATGAGATCACCTCACAGATGAGTGTTTGCCTGTCTTGTATCTCCGTTACCTGGAACACTTCCTAGTACATGGGAGGGCATCTATAAATATGTTAAATAAATGATGCCACCCTTCATGGAGTTCATATTAACTTTCTTCTTGTTCAGTTAACAGTTTTTTTATGGTGAAAAAAACGTGTATTTAGACTTAGCTGATTCAGTTTAGATGATCCCAATTTTGTTGGCATCATCCAAAGTGCTGTAATCAGGATCCAGCTGGACATACACCTTCTTTACTCCATCAGGCCCGATCAGGGTATTGACCTTGGCCATGTTGATGTCATAGAGCTTCTTCACAGCGTGTTTGCACTGCTGCTTGTTGGTCTTGCCATCCACAATGAACACAAGCGTATTGTCCTCTACCTTCTCCATGCTGACTCTATGGTCAGGAGGAATTTGATGACGGCATAGTGGTCAAGCTTGTTTCTCCTGGGGGCGCTCTCCTGAGGGCTTGCTGCATCTGGAGCCACAGTGTCTTGGAACAGCAGAAGGTGGGCAACATGTAGATCTTCTTTTTGTGGGTGTGGATGCCTTTCAGCACTGCCCTCTTGCCCTTTAGGGCTTTAGCTTTGGCTTCAGCTTCGGGAGGGGCAGGAGCCTCCTTCTTTGCCTTCAGCACCATCTTGGTTAAAAAACAAAACAGGAGCGTATGTCAATACAATTGGAGTTAAATGAATCTCAGTGTAGTTTAACAAGGAGAAAATGCGAGATGAATGATTGTGGGCAGCAACAGCCTGGAGAGACGCAGGGAGAGAAGCGAGTAAGTTGTCCTGCTTCCCACTGGCAGTAGGTACAGGCATTGACTGCAGTGTAGGAAGACCCATCCTCATAGGTGGTTTATGGAAATAATCTTCAGGGCTTTGGAGCTCCCTGTGCACACAGACATTTCAGCTTTGTCTTGTCATGGACTAAAAGTTTCAAGAGACCAGAACTTAGTCAGAGTTGGCTGTTTTTGAACAATACCTAATATCATACAGCATTCAGACAGTGCCACAATGGGTTCAGCCTGAGACTGTGAGATTTCTTTTCCGTATCCCCTCTCTCCCTTCCTCTCTTCCACCCTTCCTCCCTTCCTCTCTCCTCTTTTCTGACAACCTGAGCAGTCCCGAATCCCCTATGTCTTGTGGAGGTGGCTGCCTACGTCTGAACCTGTTTTGAAAGTTTTGTGCTATTGTGCTCGCTGCTTCTTTGTGAGAGAGAGTCTTTGTCTTGTAATCTGAGTAATTCTCTTTAAGGTTATCACACATGGTGTATTAACTATTGTTATTCTCTTACTATTTTGTTGTGAAATTTTGTTCTACATTTTTTTTTTTTTTTTTTTTTTTGTCTTTTTGAGACAGAGTATGGCTATTGAGCTGACTTTGTAGGCCAGGCTGGTCTCAATCTCTCAATGATACTCCTGCCTCAGCCTCCCAAGTGCTGGGATTACAGGTGTGCACCACCATGCCCAGCTCTTGTTCTACATTCTAATAAAATAAAATTTTTGAAAGTCCAGGAGGGTTTCCATACAACCTCTTCTGGGCAAAATGATTGGCAGTGCTAATGGCCACTCATAACTTCATTGAAGAACAGGCCTCTTTCTGTTCTTTAGAAACATTATTAACCAGCAAGCTGTCATATTTTGAGGACAAAGATTGCTCATTCTACTTTCCAAGTACTGTATATTTCATGTATAACAACCATGTGAAATTCATCCTCCTAGAAAGATGAACACAGCTCTTATGATTTATTTGATCAAATTGGCAGTTGGTTTATTTTCTCTTTTCCTCCGAAAGGGTGAAAAAAATCATAAAGTAAGTCATAATTGCCAACAGATGTTTTGGTTATAATGGTAAACTTGCACAGGCTCTCCTGGAAGATATAATTGCTGAAATTTGCAGTTTCCCAAGAAGTCCCTCAGAGCTGGAGAGAGTTTGAGGTTAATATTTTGATTTCAGTCATTCCTGTCCTTGTTATCCATTGTTTCAGTCATCGAGGATTAGCACTCTTGGGACTGCAGTTATGTCCCATTGGGGGCTCTCCCAGGAACAATTCTATTAATACCACTTTTCGTCTTCCTAGGTGCAAATTCTGGAAATGGTCAGGGAAAGAATCTCTCTCAGACAGATGCCAGCTTTCTTGAAGCCTACTGGGGAGGAGCCTCCACTCACAGGGACCACAACGAATTTCCTCTCCAACACAGGAAGAATCCATGAGGACGATGCATCACTGGCCCAATACTTGGAGGTAGAAAGCCACCCTCGAGGTCCACAGCAGGAAGAAAAACAAGACAGAGACAGCACCACCACTGGAGGTTCCCGGGCAGACCTAGAACTTGAGCTGAGCACCCCAAAAACTAACGGTAGAAGTATGTCCCTGGCTGTGCTCTCAGGGCATCTCTCCCAAGATGCTAGCACCGAGCCCAGGGAGCCTGAGGCCCTCTCCAGTGCTTCCCCTGAGCCCACAGGTACTGCCCTCACCTTGGAAAATGCGTGCAGTGGGTCAAGAGACAGAGAAACAACATGTGTGATGGAGTGTTTTGAAGCTGGTGACCAAGGAACATATTATGATACCATGGATTCTCCTGCTGGAACACCAGTTGATAAATATTTGCCTCAAGATATTTGCTCCGTGGACTCTGAGCTGACAAAAGGTCAAAGCAAAGTATGTGATTTATATTCTCCTGATGACAAGACACTGGCAGTTCTTTTCCAGACACAAGGTTCTGAGCCTCCACAGTCCACAGGCGACAGCAGCAAGGATAGAAACTCAGCACTGTGCCCTCTTTTTGTCAGTACTTTTACCTGGAACATGTCGCAAGAGGCCACCAAAAGTGCTGAAGGGAAAAATCTAGCCAAGATGGAGAATTCCACTGCCATCTTGTCCTCTGCAAAGTTGGCTGGCTGGGAGAGGCTGAGCCCACAGCACTCAGGGGGGCTTGGGGGAGCCCAGCCCCCTTCTGTTAAGAAAAATTCTTTTGTACACTTTGAGCAAGGTGACAAGACTCCTAGGACTTATGCCTCAATCACCACAAACACACCAGCCAGTCGTAGTTCAGATCTGAATTTCCCTCAGGAGAAGCCAATGGCATTAACAGCATTAATGGCTAGTGCTGAGTGTTTACAAGATACCAGGAAGACTGAGGGTATATCAGCTGATATCGTTGCCACCAAAAGTCCCCCAGCCAAATATGCCGTTTCAATTTCTGTGAGCAACCTTCCAAGTGGTGCACAGGAGAACTCACCTGGAGTGCCAGATGAAAATAACCTCGAATTTCCCTTCAGTGTGCAGTTGGGTCATGTTTTAAGTGGTCCCACCACTGAATCTACCAAAGAGCTACTTTGCTTGGCCCCCAGTGTGCCTGGAGTCTGTGGTAGCCATGTTCCCCTGCTCCTGGAGGGAGAGGGCTCCTGTAACAATTGCCCTCTTCAGACTGATCACTGGTCTAGAAACAAGAGCCAGACTGTGGTCAGAGCAGACGAAAGCCTTGAAGAGGATTTCCAAGAAAAAGGAAGTGAAACAGAGAAGAGCCAGTCCCGCCAGGATTCTTTCTTAGCAGATGATTTCCAAGAAAGTTTGCTCCCCGCATCTGCGGCACAAGAGAAAACTAACTTGGTGCCCTTAGAGCACTCCCTAGCAAACTGCAGAGACGAAAGAGGGCATAGAGCAGGCGTGGGGACCGATGACTCCACGGTGGCAGAAGCAGTGGTGGAAAAAGACAGCCAGGCAGTAAGCAATGTTCCATCACTCTCTGAAATCCTGCTGGGGGAATCTGAAGAGAGTGGACCAGGAAATTGGAAAGCAGGGAAGAAGCTGAAGATTATAACCCTAGAAGCTTCTATTTCTGAAATCTGGCCACCAACACAAGCAACGGAGCTTGAGTACAAGGAGGCAGAATCTAGTCCCACACTCCCTCACAGGCCCTGGGCTCTGCCTGATGCTCTGCAGACAGATGCTGCCTTGCTTAAGCAGGCTCACTCAGATATGGCAGTCTTGGTTCCCAGTCTTCAGGATGAGACTGGTCCAGCCCTTGCTGACCACAGGGAAACCCCTGAGGGCTATGTGCCTACCTGGACCACACACCAGAGGAGTCTTTCTTCTCAGGATTTGAGCCAGCCAAGATTCTTGGAGTCATCTGTGGACACTATTGGTGAAAATGAGTTGTGGGTCACAGATTCATTATCAGAGGCTTCTGGAACTGGATGGAAGGAAAATGCTAACAGTGTGAGTCAAGACCAAGAGAAAACTCAGGCCCAGGTGGATCACTTGGCCTTCTTTAAGCAGTTTCTGGCCTTCCCTGGCATCCGAGAGTCCTCTGTCGATCCCATTGATGATATAGGTGTGATGCAGGGCCCTAGGGCTGAGAAACTAGGGCCCTCTGATCTCACACTGGAGGTCGCCAGACAGGCATGGAAATTGACTGATGGAAATTTGGACCCGAAAGAAGTCCAACCTGACGTTCTGCAAGTTCCATGTCCCCAAAACAACTGGGGGACCATTCCAAATGAAAACAGAATCAACCAAGACCAAGCAGACAGCAAGAGAGAAGAAGCTGAACAAAGTCAACATAGTGAGGCAAAAGTGGATGTCCAGCCTGCCATCTGGGAAGACCTATGTCCAAATGCAGGTGAGCAAAGAATTCCAAGTATATGCAGCATCAGCCAGATACAAGCAGGCAGTGACAGAAGCTCAGAGGAGGCTGAGCAGAGTACAGAGAACAAAGCTGGATGTATTTCTCCCACTTCATCTCCTGCTAACTGTCTTACAGTAATGACTCAGGTGTCTGTTGGAGTTGATTCTCACAGCTCCATGGGCCAAAGTCATGATCGATCTGGAAATGACTTGGTTGAGCCTAGTAACCATCAGTATGCATTTTCTGACTCAAAGGAAAGGGCAGCTATTGAGTATGGGCATAGGCAACATGTGCCCTCTTCTCGTGAACTTATGCAACTGCCTTGCATCTCATCTCCTGAAGGGAGCACCAGCAACTTTCCAATAAGCAGTACAATTGAGGAACTGAAAAGAGAGGAACCTCAAGTTGAGGAGCCCAAACTCGCAGGCTCATCTGGCTCCACCGCGATGACTTTGGCTTTCATTTCAGGAGAATGTGAGTCAGAGAAGTCCCCCGAGTTCCTGCAGGACCCATGGCAAAAAGGCTCCACCCTGAGCCGTGGGAAAAAGCTAAGGGAGGAGAAGCCCATTCATATGACCAAACAGACTGGCAAATTACCAGGGCCTCGATTAGCAGTGCCTGGGTCAGAGGAGGTCAAGAAGAAGCAAGAAACTTCGGGAGGTGGACAATTAGCTGAGGGAGTAAAGAAGAAAATACTGTCCAGGGTGGCGGCCCTGAGATTGAAATTGGAGGAGAAGGAAAACGTCAGGAAGAACTCCAGTCTTAGAAAGATTCCCAAACTCGAAAAATCATTGTCACGCACTGGTGAGAAAAAAGATCTGAAAGAGGCACCTTGCAAAAGAGAAGGAAAAGGTGAGGCTCTGTTGCTTCTGTCATTGTTGAAGTTTGGGTGTGTGAGGCCAGGTGTGAAGTTCTAACATCCTCTTGCGCCCTCTGCAATTCAGGCAAGTGTCCATCGTGTGGACATTTGGTGGTAGTGGCCAAGTGGCTTAAGCACTTAGGTCCATGGTCCTCATACTTCTGCATGCCTCAAGATCACTGGCAGCTTGTTAAGTGCAGACTGCTGGGGCCCATGCTAGTTTCTGATGCAGGGGAGGGATGTGTGGGGCTCAAAAATTTGTGTTTCTAAATGACATGTGGTGGCACATGCCTGTATTCCCAGCTCTCTAGAAAGCTGGGGCAGGAGGACAGTAAATTCAAGCCCAGCCTGGGCAATTTAGTGAATTTGTGAGACTCTGTCTGAAAAAGAAAGAAAGAAAAGACTGGGGATGTGTGAAGGTCCTGGGTTCGGTCCCTGATATATACATACACACATAAAATAATCTGTGCTTCTTGCAACTTCCCAGCTGAGCTGTGGGGAAAAGCACACCGAGAACTGCTGCTGAAGGCTTCCTGTAGGTGTGTCTGATAATGGGAGTGTGATTATGATGGCTTCCTGTTTAATTATCCTTTAAAAAAAAAATCTATTTAAGGAGATGAACAGAAGCATTAATCAGTGTTGCTAATTAATATAATTAAATAGGGGGCTGGGGATTTAGCTCAGCGGCAAAGCGCCTGCCTGGCAAGCGCAAGGTCGTGAGTTCAGTTCCCGGTACCGGAGAAAAACCAAAA